GTCTATAACTCCCTTCTACATTATCTTTCATCTCCTTGAGGGTATCATATAAAGGGACAAAAAGCTCAATAAATGTATCCAAACCCGCAATTCGCTCAACCCATCTGGTCCGACAAACATCTACCAGCCGTTTTTTCTGAGATTCTCTCTCAGGATAATTGCGGACAATTTCCTCAAAAGGCATGTTACGTGTCTGGGAGATATTAATAAAATGTGAGACTTCTTTAACATGTTTCATCATAGTATTGACCTCAACAACAGTCAAGGAATCACATACAGCTAAATTAAGTCGATGACTATAACAATGGGTATAGAGGGCTTTCTCGTTAATACGTAAAATATTAGCTGACAAACCATTGATATGTCCCGCCACAGCACCTGCACCATCATAACCTTGCCCTCGACAATCATCAATAGATAACGTCAGGTTGTTAAGAGCTTCTAATATTAACTTGGCAAGTTGTTCACCAGTTAACCCCCACCTACACTGAAGGAAAGCAATAAATTCTTCTCGAATATTTATGTCAATGTCTACAAAACGTAAAACAAGAGACATTTGCTCCTTATGGGAAGAGTCTGCAGCCTCATCTGCAATAATAGAATAAAATTTACTAGCCTTAATATCTTGAATTATCTGTTCACTGATCACCTGACCACAACACTTAATAATTTTATTTTGGCTTGTCTTAGAAATATAACTCTTATTTTTACCACAATTTTTCAAATGGTCCTCCAAAACTTTGTCCCCTGCCCGAACTCTAAAATTAAGAGATTCTACAAAATTACCAACTCCCCCTGTAGAGTAATTGCCAACTTCTGGATGGTATTTAGAGTCATCACGATGACCACGTAATGGTAAACCAAGATGGCCACAAAAAATAACAGAATCTACAATTGAGGCAAGTTTCTTTCTATTTTCCTCAATTTCTTTTTTGAGGTTTGTATCTAAAATTACCTCTATTGGCTGTGCTTTCCCTGACATTTGGGAAAGTAAAGATGTCAGTATAGGGAAGGTACATGAATGCAGGCTCATTTCCCCACCTAAACCCTGTCCAGCATGATGTTTCAAAGTATATGCTGCACCACTCCAACGGCGAAGAGGCTGAGAAAATAAATTATGAATTTTGCCACATTTACCAGGAAAGCGATCTCCAAACAGAACGCATGACAAGCAGAATGCACCATCTTGAGAAGGTGAATAACAAAGCCATGAATGTAATTCTAGCCAATCATACCTGAAGCTTCTGCCACTAGTCTTAGGAAATGAATATTTTTGTCAGGTTTAAACACATTTTGGATAAGATTGCAAATCTCAGATGAGCTCATTCCCTTAACCATATCCCTGTACATTGCAACATCAAAATTAGTAACATGTGATTTTACCTTTTTCGCAATGGGTGTCTCACCTGATTCTAAAACATTGCTTTTTGTGTTAGTTGAAGTACTAGGTTTACTTAGATATAGTTTGCTATTATCAAGGGGGGGGGGGGGAATGACTCACTTTGGGCCATATGAGATTTTGGCTTTAAAACAGATTTCTCTGCCACATTAAAAAAATTAGCAATATTTGAGGCTTTTTTGGGAAGAATTGGAGAAATTTTTTGCTTCTTGGTGGATGCTTGGGAAGAAACAGCTACATGTTTTCTTTTAAGCTGCTGTGTATGAAAAAGAAGAGGAATAAAATTATTCAAACCTTTCTTTGGAGTTAAGCAGGGTCGAATCATGCGATTAAGTAACAATTTATACCTATGAGCCCCACAATCAGGATAATAACTAATAGTCCTATTTAAAACAGAAGGGAGACACAATATGCAGAGAAATGATGACCACTTTTTCTCACTGCAATTACGAATGGCCTCCTGTCTAACCAAGTCGGCTTTAGTGCAACCTGTGTCTAAACACTCCTTAGAAACAGACATGGGTAAAAGATTATTAATACTTTTGCTGAAGTACTCAGCATGCTCATTTACAGCAGAAGAAAAGCAAGGGTGCTGAGAATAAAATTCAGCATTAGCAAAAAGCTCTATTGATGTCAAGATTCTCAACGGTTCCATTAGACTATTGTTACCTACTTGTACCAAGGATGCAGAGCTATACAAGCAATTTCCAGTAACATCAGATCTAAGATAGAAAACATTAACCCTGTAAGTGGCAATGCACCCTAGTTTATTACTTTACCCTGTCTAACGCCAGGCGATTTTACTCGTCAGGGGTTAGGGACGGACCATATATCAATGGGTTAGGGACGGACCATTAGAAAATGGGGGGGGGGGGCGAAAAAATGAATACAAGCATAAAAGGTAAAAAATAAAAAACATGCAACAGGAACATCTCAAAACAAAATTGTAACAATCTGAAAAAAATTGCAAATATGGAAAAAATAACCCCCCTCCCTCCTTCACCTTTCTAATGGTCTGTAAACCCCAATTTTAAGGCTTTAAAATTGGGGTTTACAAAATATTGATTTAATATTGAGTATTAAGTATTAACCCTGCTTTCTAGTTTCTAGACTAGTATGTGTAATCGATAGCAATAAATAAAGCAGAAACATGTGCCACTGCCACGAATAACGATCCACAATAGCATTGTAGACTGTAGAGATCGTATTACACAAAGCCATGCCACATTGTCTAATTGTCATGTGCTTGTAGTTTTAATATACTAGGCAGTATTGACAGTATTATAAAGTGTATGATTAATATTCTAAAGATTCTGATTAATATAGAGGCATAAAGCCATAAAGAAAATATAAACAAACTGAAACTGCCTGTATTAAGCCGCAGTGTTTATGTAAATTGATTGAAATATTATGTAAATTTCGTCTGTTTATTATACGCGTACGGCGTACCCGCCGACGATTTTATACGGACAGACGCTCAATCTACAACAGCTATAAATGTTATATCTAGTTAAATGGAATATATTTACCTTAAGGCCGTACAAATCATTTTTGTTTTCTCTCGAGCGTACTTCGGGATATAAGATTCCGCACCAAAATTGCGTGCGAGGAAGAAACTTGTGTTGTTCAAAGCGCTCAATAAGTCCTCAATGGAACGCTTGGGTACACCGTCTATTCGCTTCTTTAGATCAGCTTCAATATCGTTAAGATATTGTCGATCGTCTTTCTCTAAAGCAGCCTTTACGGTCTCGTAAATACTGACAGACATGGCTAGTATTACTTCAGAACTTCTGATAAATTTTCCAATTGACTTTGATTGAACCTTTGCGGTCAAGTAGCGATCAGAAAGGGCCAGAAACACAACCAGAAACGTCATAGACCTTTCCATGCATACTATAGCCTGAACGGCATGATCGATCAGAAAAATCCAGCCTAATAGGAATTCAGAATTTTTTTGAATTAGCCAATCGCATAGCCTGTATTCTAGCCCCTGATGGCCAAATCTATCAGAACTCCCCACAGATCGCGCAAAAATCGAGATAGCCAATCAGATGGCTGGAATCTGACCCAAAGCGTGCAAAACTCATGCGTAAGGCCGCTTTTCTGCGCGTTCATGTTTGAAGGCCTTGCTACTGGATGATATTTCAGAATCTGGACTGTTAACTTTCAATGCAATACACTGCGCGAAGTTTGATAACTGGACTGCTATTCTATTTAGCAATTTTCTAGCTGGGCAATTTTTACCTTAGTCGCGTGATCGCTTTGATCACCCCTAGATCCGCCCCTGACTAGGCTCTTTTCTAGTGCAGTGGGCCAACATTTTTCTGAGTGTGAACATGCTCAATTCTTAGCTACTTTACAAGACCAGTTCACATTACTCAACGACCTTCTTTCGCCTTCTGACAACTCCTCTCCTATTGAAAACCTTGTTTTCAACAGATACAGAATACTTCACATTACAAAATCTAACAACTACAACATTCTTGCTTTTCTTGAAGCATTGCTTATCAAACACAACAAACCTTTTCTTAACACTGGACTTAAAGCTAGTAAAGAACTACAACTGTTCACATAACACTTTAACTCAATCTTCTTCTACATGTCGGATCTTTCCCTTTCTACCTTAATCCTTTTAATATTTTAAACATTGTTGTAAATATAGCTAAATATTTCATGTAAATATAGCTAAATATTCCAGTTATTACTATTTTCTTTATCATGTTTCGCTTCGCTTGGATAATCCTTCTTTCCGCCCACATGACAGATGCTCTCTCTCTGTGTTGTATATATATATATATTATACCTCAAATTCAAATTGTCCAATCAGGAAGCTTAGTTTGTGCCACGTGAGCATGAAATTAATCGCGATATCACGCCTTACGTCATCAATTAGCGAGCCTGCGTTTCTTTTGACAATGTTCCACCCCATGTTCCCCGGGGAACATGGGGTGGAACATTATTCGCGTACACCACGCGGGACAACACGCATGACAACAAGATGGCCGACAAAACATAAATAGTATTAATGAGTGATGAATAATTCAATTTTAAACCTAAAACCCGTGGCTTTTTCAAACCTAAAACCTGGGGCTTTGTCATTAATATTCCAAACGATATGTGATTCGAAAGAAAAGCGACGATACTTGCGTTAATCCGAAAATAAAACATCGTATTCACGAAGGTATGTGTCAAGTTTTTAATTCTCAACTTTGAGGCTTTTAATTTTCGGTATAATATATCATTTATAGACCCTCCGCTCAGGGCATTCGAGACTTCGTTTGGCATTACCATACCTATATATATATATATATATATATATATATATATATATATATATATATATATATATATATATATATATATATATATATATATATATATATATATATATATATATATATGTGTTGTAAAGTATTGTATTTCATTCTGTCTGAAGATGACTTTGAAATAAAGTCGAAAATTTACAGTCTCAAACTGCGTCTTGTTTTGAATTATATATTGAATTCTCAAGATGTCCTGTATTTTCGGAATTTGTTTTTTACTTTATTTTTTTAAATTGTCGGCTGGTCATGGTTTTTGTACTTTTTACTTAAGTACGTTTTGCCTCCAGTACTTTTTACTCTTACTCAAGTCTTTTATTGTTAATTACTTCTACTTCTACTCGAGTACAAATTCAAAGTAATTTAGGAACCACTCATGCATTCAGGTAATTACGCTGAAGCTAAAAATACCGTAATTTGGAGATAAAAGGGCAGTTCGCTGTCAAGCTTTTTGTGCCTTTTTCACTAATTGGATTTATAATTTGCTTTTTAAAGATAATCATTGTGCATGCTAAAAATAAATATAATTGTGTTGTTTTGTTTTGCTTCTATATACTTTTACTTCTTTGCCTCGGTTTAGGCGAAACATTCGATCAATGCAGGTCCGCTATTCATCAATTCCATAATAATTTAATACACTGGTGAAGATCCATGCAGGCTAACGGATCGGAAGCTAGTAATATTACAAAATAATTTTGTATAGATTAATTAATGGACAAACATTTTTTTACATTTTTTAATATAGAAAGATATTTTAACGGTGGCCGGCATGTATTATAGGATGTAGGTCGTTCCACAAACCGTCATGTTTATTCCTCGTTCACCGATAACTGTCAAATACGAAAGCTATAGTAATACAAAATAATTATATTTCCGGCGTGCAATCATGCAAACAAGGCTATTAACGGCGGAATTAACTATAATCACGAAATGGAATGTTAACGAAATTGAACTGTTAAAATCTACTTGAAATAGTCGAGTGTGTAATTTGTGCCACAATGGTATAAGTGCCTTTTATACAGACCTTTCTGTACATTTGACGTATAGGAGAGTTCTGTGAGAGTCTTTGAGACCCAACCAAACACACTCGATGTCCAAAGAAAACAGTTTGCAACTGATAGAGCTACCCAGTATAACCATAAAGTTAGATTGCTTTTTTCTAATGTCGTAACACTAAAGCCATTATTGGTGAGAACAGCAGTTTAGTAGTGAAAGAGCTACTGTATCCATGATCAGCATTGTTCTTTTTAACTGCAAATTTAAGCTAGTTAAGGTTTCCTCTTGTTGTAACACTAAAACGTTAAGCGATGACCCTTACTGGACCTCTGGGAGAACATTGATAGAGTTATCCAGTAAAAATAAAGTTATAGCCTAGTTTAATTAGTGCCGTCTCTTTACACTGGACCTCAACGAAAAACAATTTAATCACTGATTAGTGAGGGTGAAATTCTAAAACCAAATCATGAATGTTGACATTATAAAGAAGTGGATTGTGCAAAAATAATAGTGTGGAGAAACGGCAAATAAAATATAGAAATAAGTACTTGTCGGAACTGAGCGGTTAATTACGTGGACATCTCGCGTGTGATACACGCGAGCACATGGAATATAATTATGTATAGGAGCGGGAAAACAACAGCGAAAGTTTATCAATATATTTTTTATACTCTGAGATTTTAGTGATTTTTTATTGTGACTCGAGTGAATTTTCGCAGATACATACCGGGGAGGCAGGTACTTTGCGAAACGTGGCACCTCCGAGACGGGATTTAGTAATATTGTTGTTATATTCGACGATTTTTCGGTGATTTTAAACGCGATTGTTTACGAATGGCAGACGCCAACGCGATGTCTACGTTCGACGTTAAATTAAAACAACTTCTGATGACGTGCAAGCGAACAGATTCGGTGCTCGATTCTAATAAAGATACTGTGATTAAACGACAACTGGAAGCTTTAAAAGCGTTAACAAACGAGGTAGAAACATTGAGACGAAGCGTAGAAGCGTTGATAATCGAGAGAAAAGTGAACGAGGACGAAGTCGTTACGTGGAATTCTCAAGTAGAGACCGAGTTAGAGAAAGCAGACGACGATGTGAAACGCTTGGAGAAATGGCAGGACGATTGCAAACTGGAAAGGGAGAGAAATGCTTTCGAAGAGAAATTGAAATACGAGATAAAACTACACGAAACTAAACTAA